GCGCGGTTCTGAGCCGGCGGCGCCGGCCGCACACGCATTTATACGGCGCTATTTTAGGTCGCGCGCTCTGATTGGCCGGCTGCCGGTGAGGACACGCTTGCGCGCCGCGGGGCGGGGTGAGCCCCGGGGGAGGGGCGCTGTCTGCGGCCTCGCGGTCGGAGGCGATCTGTGTTCTGGCGTCCCGAGACCCCGACCTTTTCCGAGGGTGCTGTGGCGCCGCCGTATCCCCTGTGCAATCTGTCAGTTGGGTTATATTTTAATGAAAGAGCCTGTATGGCCGAAAGGGGCTGTGGATAGCCGAACTAATTCCCGCCTCTGGGAGGGAGTTGCCGGGTGGCCCGACACTTAGAAGCCACATGACAGAAACGGCATGAACGTTACGGGACTGGAGCCCGAAGCCGCTCCGGTGGCATTTCCTGTCTAAAGCGTTTGTCAGCTCCCTCTGCAGACCTGCCTTTCTGCCACCCTTACCTCGCCCTTTGCTAAACCAGCCCTCAGAGGCCTTCTCCGTCCTGCTGTCCCCGGGCCTCCTTTCCTCTCTCCCCCCGGTGCTGTCATTTACCCTTCTCTGAAGCCAAAGGAACAGAACACTCCTTAGACGTCGCAGGAGGATCTTGTTTCCACCGCATTTCCATTTAGTGATCAGAGAGCCACGTCTGCCTTCCCTGCTTTCTGGCTGTTCATCAATCAGGTGGTATTACTGCTCTGAATTTTAAGGTTCTTTCATTTCTCTTGGTTTGAAAGTTACTGAATAAATGCAACGTGTGATTCACGAAAAGTCCTACCATACTTAAAAAGATAAGCGAAAAGGACTATTTGAAACCGTCACTTTCTATTGGATGAGAACTTAGCTTGAAAGGGATTCTAGTCAAGAGTTCTGTGTTCCTCCCAAGAATCACAATTATCACTTATGGTTGCAAAGCCCCTGAAATAAAGGCCTTTGAGATTTCTTGAGCGCACAGCCTTGAGATCTTTTGCGGTTAGGTATGTAGAATATAGCTTAGTAACTATTGAACAGCATCAATAAAAATTACCACTCATTAAGTATTTTTCAGTAAGCCAGGCATTTAAATGCTTAACAGACATTTCACTTAGTCCTTACGAAATTCCCATGACTTAGATACCATTATTATGCCCATTTTACAGAAAGGGAAATTAAGGCCCAGAGGGTTTGAATAACTTGACTGAAGTCACACTTTAACATGATGGCAGTGCCACGTGTTCTGACTTCAACGTTTGTGCCCTTGAGTACTAGGCTCTGTAGTTTCTTTTTTTCTTGTTTTATCTGACTGGAAATTCAGTCTTGCCTGGCACAAAAGGAGATGAGATCAATCAGTCAGTGTCATAATTTCCCAGGAAGATGTTTGTCCTGCTGCTGTGCTGGCTTAAGAAAAGGATTGCTAGGAAGGGAAAATAATGGTGCCAGGGGTCTTAACAGTCTATTTCCCCTGAACAACAGACCATGTTAAACCTGTAGTACAAAGTTTTGGGAAAGATTTTGGATTGTGCTGTGCCTGTTGATATGGAGACTGGATTGTTTACAAAGCGGCCTCACTTAGATCCACTTAGTTGGTTAGGAACCAAGAAGCAAATTGGTCTTAAGACTGACTCAAAACATTTCTCTACACTTTCCCCTACACAGCTTCCAGAACTACCTGATGGAAGTTCCAAATGAAAGACACTGCAGTGGCTCCAGGGCCCCAGGCCACACAGGCCTGGGTGCAATTCCCAGCCCTCCCTCTCTGTTGGATGTTGTGTGAGTTTCTAAACTCCTCTGAAACTCATTTTCCTTATCTGTAACCTACTTTGCTGCAAGGATTAAGTGAGATCTCTGAAGTTCCTGGATTAGTGTGTGGTGTATATAGATGTTAAAAAAGGTTGGTTATCTTCCTTGCCCTTTTCCTTGAACATTTAAGATGGAAAGCACCTAGCTGTGACGATTATTCCTTTATTGTGCCTTTTACAGGGCTACATTGACAGTACTAAATTTTATAGTCAGGGAATAATTCACAGTAAGACATTTATTATCACCTATAACTTTAAACATCCCTATTGAAACTTCAGAAACAATCATTTCCAAATATCAGCTTCAGCTCTAATGGTATCTGTCATTTACTCAACAAATAGTTACTTAACATCTATTAGGTATAAGGCATTGATTTTTCTTTAATAGAGCTTTCTGAAAACATGTCAACAAAAAGAGCCTGGTTCACAAGCAGGCATTAGGGAAATTGCCTTTGCTTTTATGGTAATAATAAGCTGTTTTTTCTTACTGGTCCCAAGCTCCAACTCTGACCTTTATTCTTAATGAGAATGACATGGTCTGACAAGACAAAAAAGAAAAGAAAAACAAACACAAAAACTAAGAACTGGAACAACTAGGCATTAATAAAAATTAAAGGCATTTCTTTTAAAATATAATTCAGAGGATGTTTTCCCCTTTTAAAGCTGTTCGTTTTTGTTGATTGATCTTGCTTAATCAATTAGCAGATTGTTCTCATTACTGGTAGTCAGGGAAAGAGAAGGTTTTAATTCTTCTTTTCAAATATAAGGTTATAAAATGTGCTGTGTGTTTGTGTGTGTGTCTTGCACAGCGAGGTGTATATTACTACAGAAATGCTAACTTTGTGAACCATTACAGATCCCAGTATGTTTTAAGTAAACTGAATCTCCAGAAATTTGCAAATCATTAAATGCAATTAAGGTGGGGCTACTTTTTCCCAATTCAAAAATGTATCTCAGGCAACATGTACTTGATACCCAAATACCTGTTTGGGTTATGAGATTCAGTCCAATGAGCAGCCAATTCAACAGAAAAGAAATAAGACATACCCACTTTTTTAGATCACCGTAATGTATACTTTTAGACCTAACAGTCTTTAATAGAACTTGTGTCTTAGGGGTAAGAAATAAACATACAATTATATATAATATGATATAAGAAATTGATATATAACATAACATGCAAAATCAGTTATTGAAAATAACTGGTAAGTTATTAGCTACAAAAATGCAGTGATATGAACTGAGCATGTAATATAATAGATGCTGGATGCCAATATAGCTTAATATAATGGTTTTGATTCATCCTTTTAACTCCTTTTATTGCCGGCAAAAGTAATTTAGGGTGTGATTGGCTAAGATAATTTTTTGCTCCAATAAAAGGCTGCTTTTGAAAACCTGCCAGTCCCCTATCTCTTTACTGTTGCCTCAATACAACATCTTCTGTTGACAAAACTGAGGAACCAAATAGTAGCAGGTAATGAAAGTGCCCTCTGCTATATTGCAAAGCAAGTGAACACAGCCTCCACCCTGGAATCTGAGCCTACGAGAGTCTACATGGCCCTTTTGAAGAGTTCATTCATTCAACAAATAACTCGCTCTATTTCTATGCCCCAAGCATACACATAAATTTAAACTAGTCATGGTAGCTACTGTGAGTGGCTTGCAGTCTGGAGGAGGTAAGAGCTGAACAAGCAAACAAGGCAGCTGAGAATTCATTCCTACCATAGAGGAATGCAAGTCTGTGTGCACGGGTGTAGAGTTGGAGAAGGCTATGGAGATTGTAGGCAACACCAAGCTCAAGGGCTTAGGCTGTGGGAGTGTTGAGAGATGCAGGCAGTCAGCACACAGCAGCCTGAGAGCCACACTAAAGCATCTGATCCCCATCCTGCAGGTAGTGTGGAACCTAAAGGAAGTTAAGACGATGTGGAAAAGCTGCTTCCTGGAGTCTGCAGACTGGCCTTCCGTGCTGTTCTAAAGGAAGAAAAATGGAGGCCTCGGATCTGGTGAACAGTTCTGAGAGGTGGTACTGCCCCTGTTACTTGCCGTGGTAAGGTATTTTACTATCTCTGCTTTGCCCAGAATTAGAACTTCAGCTGAATTTTTAGGGAAATTATTTTGCCAGACATCAGTCCTTGTTCTCTGATAGTAAACAAATGGTTCCAGCAGCGTGGGGGATAATTGCCACATTTAATACATACAGCATTCTAATATGTTTAGACTTGGCCTTTTGTCTGAAAACTGCAAGTTTAAGGATTTTTTGTCTTTTTTACTGACATTGCTCACTTTACTATGAAACACATGCTAAGGCTCTCTGCTTTATTTGGGAGTTTATAATAATGGCTTGCTTGTACAAGGTCCTAGCCAGCAAATCTTTGTTACAGAATGCCACAGTCACACAAAGGGGCACATTTTAACATAAACATTATTGATAAGATGGAGGCTAAATGTTCCTGCCAAAACAATCAGTGGAGCATAAGAAATGCACACCATGGAATGAACACCTGAAGATCAGTTCCGAGGTACACCTGAAATAGGAAAGATGCTGGATACTGATTCTATAATGGCTGTGTCCAAAGACTACGTAACTCAAAATCTATCAAGTTAAAATACAGAAGCATTCCTGGCCATTTACTGTGCCTTGCACTGGGGAGTCTTGATTATTTCTTTAACAGTAAAACTAAAGAGTCACACTACATGGGTGGATCTGGGCAGGGCAGGATGGTTCATGATGGTAGTATTTTATAGCAGGAATCCTAAAAATGCCTAGAATGAAAGATAAACCCTTCTCTGGCTAATGTCGGCAATCATTAGATGCCTTCACCTAGTCCTTGGTCACAAGCCCCTTCTCAAAGCTCCAGATAACAGAAGACTGGCTGAAACATTGTGGTGATTGCTGTGGGAATCTTGACTAAAGGGAGATAGATAAACAGATAGACAGATAGATAGATAGACAGATTATAGATAGGGCAGCTTCCCAGGTGCATGAAAAGCCTTTTAGGAAGGAGCTGTTTCACACCACTAGGGATGGGTTGTCAAGATGGGCAGACTTTGAAAAAGCCTGACATTTTACTGTTGTCTAGAGGTTTCCCAGGCATTCTCCCAAAGCTGGAGGTTTCCCAGGGGAGCCAGTGGCATGCATTCTTGGCCTGGCTACATAGCAACTTACTTGCCAGTAGAAGTGTACCTTTCAGAGTAATTACTCAAGGTGTTTTCAAACTAGGTGTTCAGAACTGAAATTTCTAGTAACAAGGTAGACAATCTAATTTGAAAACACTCTTACTACAAAACATCTGAAAATACTAGATAAAATACGACAGATTTCCCTTTAAATGCATATTTAAATTACCAAGACCTGATGGTCTCAGTAACCCAGGGGTTTGGGGATTTCATCCCTGTAGATAAAGTTTGTTGTAAAGTTTACCAGTGAAAAGTGAAAGACATAAAATCAGAATTTCTAAAGTTACTTTCTTAAGCTGATCCATGTTGCTGATACTGCCAGTCTACAAATGTGAAGTATACACAATCCATCATATTCCCATTTTAAAAAGAAACCAAGGCCTGCCTTCCTTTAATAATTCAGTTTCACAGCCCTTGGGATCAGTGGCTCACACAAAGGTGTGTTAAGCAGGGCAGTGATCTGGCAGAGTCAGGAGACTTTTCATGCAAAGAGAATGAGCAAATAAGTACATATATTGAGGATAATGGCAATCAGGTTTCTCACTGTTGAAAAGAGGAGTTACAGATATGGAAAGGGGAGAAGTTAGAATGAACCATGTTGTGTTGCATTGAAATTAGAGATAATATGTACTGATGGTTTTCAATATATGTGTGTGTATATGTACACCTATAATTTCAACTTCTGACTATTGAGAGAGCCTAAAACAGACCCCCAATAGCAATGAGCACACCTAGCACCAAAATCTTGTTTTCTAAAGCCCATTATTTACTGAAAGCAACTGGGGTTCCCTGATTCCACAGCCGAATCAGGGAAAGTATAAGATGAATCTGGAACATCTTGTTGGCCTATAAAGTAATATTGCCATAGACAGGTAGGTAGATAGATAGATAGGCAGAGAGAAGAGACACCTCAGACTTCTAGCAGCATGCCAATCAATAAATATAGATGGAATGGTAGAATTATAAAATCACCTTTTGGTAACTCATCATAGTAATAATTAATTTAAGCAAGAAACTTCAACAGATGCTAAAACCAAGTGAACAAAAGTTTGATGAGGAATGAGATATTTGCATAGTCTCAAACAAAGAGAAAATTAGTAAGTTAATGGTGAAAAACCTCATAGATAACACCTGAATCAGATGATCAAAGTTAACATCGTTGGTGGGCTACAGTGCAGACATGCCACGTCCAAGAACCACACCATGCACAACTAGTCCTGAAAATGGCACACAAATGGCATTGAGAAACTATGAAAGTATGACTCTTAAGACTTCAAATTTGTGAGGAACATGTGCTTTGCCAAGAAGCACAAGAAGAGTCTGAAGATGATGCAGGCCAACAGTGCCAAGGCCGTGAGTGCACATGCCAAGGCTCTCAGGGTACTTGTCTAGCCCAAGGAGGTCAAGCCCAAGATCCCAAAGAACATTAGTCACAAGTTCAGTTGACTTGCCTACATTGTTCCCCCAAGCTCAGGACGCATGCTGGCGCCTCCAGCCCTAAGAGTCTCAAGCTTTGCTGGCCAAAGGCCAAGGCCAAGACTCAAACTAAGGTCCAGCTCCAGCTCCAGTTCCAGCTGCCATTCAGGCCTCCTAAAGGTGCCTGTGCCCCATGAAGGCCCTGGAGTAAAGGTCTCTGTGTGCCAATATGAGGAAAGAAGGACTGCTGTTTGCATGAGGCTAGTGTCCTCCTGTGTTATTTGTACAATAAACCTGAGGCAGGAGCTGTCAAAGAAATTAATATCATTGATAAAGGGACATTGATAAAGGGACAAATCACATGTCAACTGATGGGGTACAGTAAGAACGCAAATCACTTCTGTGAAATTCATACTAAAATGTCTAATCTGAATCTAATTATGAGAATGTATCAGACACATCCAAATTGAGAAACATTCTATAAATCAACTGGCTTATTATCTTCAAAATGTCAATGTTTTGAGAGACCTGGAAAGACCAAGCAACCAATTCAGACTGAAGGAGATTAAGGAAACTTGACAACTAAGTGAGGTACCCAATCCTGTATTGGATCATTTGTCTATAAAGGACATTTGGACAATTGGTGAAAAATGGAATGGAGTTGGTGACAGTTGTAATGTTCCAGTGTTGATTTCCTAGTCTTGATGGTTATATTGTGGTTTTGTGGAAGACCATCCTCATTGGCAGGCGATTTACATGAAGGTTTTTAAGGGTAAGGGGAAATCATGCCTGCAGCTTACTCTCAAATTGTTCAAGAACTAATAAGTTCTTTGAATTATTCTTGCAACAGTTTTGTGTTTTGGAATTATTAAAACAACACAAAACCCCAAGGACTTCAAGCATGTTAGCACTAATATGTTTGTACCACAATTTAGTACCACATTTAGTAGGCATCCACTAGTGCAGTGCACTCTGCCTAGTCACCCTTACTGAGCCAGTTTTGCCCAACTTAAAAAAAAAAGAATTTGGAAAAGTTGGGCCTGGCAATGCAAATTTACTGTGTGTATGTGTGTGTGTGTGTGTGTGTGTGTGTGTGTGTGTGTGTGTGTTGGCAGTGGGTGGGAGTAATTTTTTTTTTTGATGGAGGTACTGGGGATTGAACTTAGGACCTCATGCATGGTAAGCATGTGCTCTACCACTGAGCTATACTCTCCCCTACTCGAATTTACTTTTTGAGATCAAGTGTCTATTCAAGTCAGAATCTGCAGCACCGTGAACACAACCCCTCATTCTTTCCATTAAGGCATCCTTACAGTTGGGAGCCATCTCCAATCATAAAATGCTTAAATATTACCATGGCTCTAATTGCTTACTGCTGAAGATTAATGTCATGTTCGGATTGGAAATATACCCAGGGGCAGATTTAGGTTTTATTTATGCCTCTCCAAGAAAAATAATGTAAAATTACAAATTAAAAAATTGGCACAGGACCTTTGCAGGAAGGAGACCATGCAAGTGAGGGGCTCAAAGTTCATGCCCCATTTTCTCCAGAAATCCACCCTTGATTCCACACAAATCAGACAGACCCACCTATTCAGAAGAGTCTCTTGACTCTTGACTCAATGACTTCCCCTATGGCAGCGTCTTTTAAACCCAGTGAATCAGGATTCTGCTAGGACTTTTCTCTCCAGATAACCCTAAGCTTTGGTTTGGGCTGTCGCCTTGACGTACCCTCTTGGTATCAACAGAATGACTGTACCCACATGTGAAGGAGATTGTTCCGTGAGATGCCAGAGATTACATGGGTTGTTCACCAGGCAAACCCGTTTATTTTGAGGTCATACTTCATGTACACAGGTCATATAATAAGGCCATAGAGAATGATAGTGGATTTTACTTACAGTGCAATTTGCAGAGTCACTCTGGAGAATGTCACAAGGCTGCTAAGCCGAGTAACCATTCACTGCAATATTTTTCTCACCTATACCACGTAGGGCGTGTCACCTACATCACGAAACCTACCAAGCGCCCGGGAGTGCGTGGTACTGCACTAGATACTACAGGCCCTTCTCAACAGGAACCCTTGAGCCGCCTCTTCACCTGATCTTCCCCGACGTCACCCTGCCTCCCTGCCTCCTGTCAAGTCTCAGGGTCCCATCATTAGAGCCACCGTGGTCCTCAGTTAGCTCCTTACTGCCCACGGACAAGGTTGTGTCCCCTTGGATGCACATGGGCCCCTCACATTAACCTCCATGGTGCTTCTCCAGCCTCACCTTCCCTTGGTCCCGTTCCTTCCTCCATGCCAGCCAACCCTGATGCTGCCCCCAAAGAGGCCACATCTCTTTGCCTTCACATCCTTGTCTTGCTGGCCCATGTGTACTTCTCCTCTTCTCCCCCTGGCAGACTTCTACTCAGCCCTGAAGAAACAGCCTTTCTTAGTCTGCTCAGGCTGTGTAACAAAGTGCTGCAGACTGGGTGGCTTCTAAATGACAAAAGTGTATTTCTCACAGCTCCTGGGGGCTGGAAGCCCCGGGTCAAGGGCAGGCATGGTCAGGTTCGGTGGGAGCCCTCCTTCTGGTTCAGCACTAGTGCCTTCTCTCTGCATCCTCGTGGGGTAAAAGGGTGAGGAGCCTCTTTTATAAGGGCACTAAATAAACCCATTCACAAGGGTTCTTCTCTCATGATCTAAGCACCTCCCCAAGGCCCCACCTCCTAACACCATCATCTTTGCAGGTTCGGGTTTCAACATACGAATTTGGGGGACACATTCAGACCATAGCACAGCCCAGATGTCACCTCCTCTGGGAGGCCTCCACTTCTCAGAAGCAGAGTCGGCCATTCCCTCACATGGTTTTGGGGCCCAGAGCCTGCTTCTGCCTTCATCACCTCCAGTTTAACCATGAATTCTTTATCTGTCATCCATGGTGGCCTGGAAACAGCCAGAAGCAAGGACCATGTCTCGCTCATCTCTGTAGACCCAACACCCTGACACTCTGCCTGGCGTGTGGCTGCTACAAGTATTCTGTTAACTGCCTGCTTAATCTCTGCTAGGCCAAACCGATAAATACACTCCTAAAATGCATCTGTGACCCCAGGTAAGGGTGGGGAGCCTCTGGGAGGCCTCCTCCCTCCCATAAACAAGGGTGAGATGACTCAGTTGTCATCTTGGCCTGAGACCTGGGATCAGGAAAGCCCTGAGTGGGAGGAGCTCCCAGCTAGCAATCTTTGGTCAGCCAGAGGCCACTGCAGGATCCTCCCGGGGTGGGTGGGGGGCGCTGTGAGTCTGGGCACCTCGGAGGGTGGGGCAAGTGTGGGGCAAGGGAAACAGGCCAGAGGTGATCGGGCTCTCCAGCCAGTGCCAGGGAAAAGAAGGGGCACAAGAGGTGGCCTGTGTCATCTTTGCATGTTGGTTAAATCCTTGAAAGAAAAGATAAGGAACTGGAGTGGCAATGATGCACTGATAACAGCCATGTAAAAACTTCATCGTTTCACCAACAAATCCATCTGAGAAAAACACACATCTCAGCCAGTTGGCCTTAAGATTGTTTGCTCTGCCCTGTTAAAAAGAAAGGGAGGAGGAAAAAAAAAGGATTAAAAAGTGCCAGAGATTGTGGGAAATAAATCATAGCTGTTTAGATTCTACCCATTTCATCAACATTCCCAGTTGCTCCTCCAGAGAGGTCTGGCCTGGCTGGAGCTTGACATTGCCTGATACCTTCCATTTATCTCTTGGTTTATCTCTCAAAGGGAAATATTTGGGAGAAGGGAACACCGCACTTCTGCTGAAGGTGCTTCGGTGACTATGTTCAGCGCAGCTCTTGCTGTCCTGGAGGGCCGGGCTGTGTGGCCTCGCGGGCCCTTGAGATATGCGGCATCAGAAAACCTGACATTAGGAAATCCCCATCCTGGATCTGGCTGCACCTCAGGTTAGAACGTGTCCTGGTTCCGTGTGGCTGAGAACCTGCCATATGGTGACATTTCAATGCCAGGACAGGCTTATTTAGAATATTTTAAAGTAAATTTTTCCACCAATAAATTAGTCCTGAGTATGCTAACTCCTTTCCCCTGTTCATGTCTAGGAAAAGGGATAGTCTCAGGCCTCCTTAGGCCCTGGAGTCAAGGCCCTTCTGCCCTCTTGTCAAGGTATCAAGGCCGTGCAAGTCTCCCATCCACCCCAGCATCATGGACTGCCCTACACCCCAAGGGCCATTCATGAAAAAGCGGGGCTCCTGCCTCAGCTGGGAGCCATCTGTTTTGGGATATGTTGGCCCAAGGCTCAGAAATAAACAGGAGATATAACCCTCCTCTGCTTCAGATGTTAATAATAATAATAATAATAATAATAATAATAATAATAATAATATCAACAAGTATTCTATCTACTGACTGCTTGTGCTGTGCCAGGCTCTGTGCTAAGCACTTTGTCCAGCTTCATTCCATCCTCACTCCAGCCCTAGGGGATTGGTGTTACTATCCCCACTTCTCAAACCTGCCTAGTCTCCCAGCTGCTAAACGGCAGAGTCCAGTCCCCAAGCTCCTAGCCTCTCACACACTTCCACTCCCCCAAGGATATCTGTCTGGCTGATCCTGTCCATGACAGGGGACAGTTGCCACATACGATGAGGACTCTACAGGTCACTCACTTCCCTCAGGTGGATCTAGGGTGTCTTCCTCTTCTCCCCGTCCAACCAGGACCCCTCTCAGCCCCTCATGCACCAGGAAGCCTCCCCAAGTCTAACAGGGTCCACTGACCACCCCTTCCCAAGTGCTCTCTAGTACCCCCAACACTCAAAGTGTGACCCAGGCTTGGTACCAACTGAGAGAAATTCGGAACCTCAGACCCTACCTGCAATCCATATTTTTATTTATTTATTTATTTAGTGGGGGAAGGTAATTAGGTTTTTTATTTATGTATGTATTTATTTAACAGAGATACTGAGGATCGAACCCAGGACCTCGTGCATGCTAGGCAGGCACCCTACCACTGAGCTACACCCTCCCCCTGGCCAATCTGCATTTTAACAAGACCCGGGTGACTCCGGCACCATGATCTGTGTCTTCCTCACGTATCAGTGGTCTCATGTGGTTCTAGAGCTGTTTGTAGGTGGCCCCTTCATCTTTCTGGAGAGATTATAAGTGGAATATTGGTTTGCCCCAATTCCTGGAGACTGTCTAAGCTGGATAGTTGGAATAGAACAGGTGATCTGGGGTACATCATGAGCGCCGTTGAATGGTAGCTTGTACATCACTATTATCTCAGGGACCCCTGACTTTTGTTAGGGTCCCGAAGGTGCATAAACGTTCACTTGTTTAGTAGGGGCTTTAGGGGTCTACCAGGAGGTTCCTGGAAGAAATGACACTTTGTTTTTTTAATGCTAAAAGAACCCAGCCCCAGTTCTGGAATTCTCCCCTGGGGCTACCTCTCTGACCCCACATCTCAGGTGTCCCGAGTGCCCCAATCCTCAGTGCATTCTTGGCGGCACAGCACCGCTGAATCAAAGAGGGAGCCACCTCCTGCGGGCTCTGGAATTTCAAAACCCTGTTCATAAAAGAGTTTATAGGAATCCTGTGGCCTCTACCAGGCTACTGCCAGGTCCCTGACTCTGTACTTCAGAGCTGTCACTACCTCTTTAACAGCTCTCACTTTTTAAAATCACCTATTTAACATGTGCACCAGCACCCAGAGAAAAATTATATACCCTTTCTCACTTCCTGTGGGAAGGGTGGGGCCCACCGCTGACTGCTCTTTGGCAGTTGCTGTGAGTCACTCTGGGAGTGAGGGCCTTTAGCAGGGAGGGAAGTGATTTGTGTGGTCTTTGGAATGCAGGTATGGGCCGTACCTTCTTTGCTGATAAAAGAGAGTTGTGAGAAGGCAACCTGTTACATAAAAGCACATAGTGAGTGAGTGTGTGTATGTGGTGGGGGGGGGTGCGCCTGCCCCCATCCCCCGCCCTGGGAGGAGAGGGCGGTTTATGTTCTGGCAGCCTTTGGCAGGGTTGGAGTGCCATGATGTTCTCTCTGTGATGAGAGTCAGCACGTCCCCTTGGGCGTACCCCAGGCTTGCCCTTGCAGGGACTACACCTGCTCTTGGTGGACACCAAGTTAGATGCTGTTGAGGCTGTAAGGATGCAGCTGAGGCAGTTGGTGTCAGGGTGCCTTCCTGGCTCTCCACAAAGGCCAGTCCCAGGCTTTCACGGTGCAGGTCTGGAGGGGCGAGTCTTAAGTCAAGCCCAGGGAAGCGGGGCTCAGCCACAACATAGGCTCAGTCCAGGGACAGGGAGCTCTGGGACTGAACTGACACTTGCATTCACTACATGTGCAAGACTCTTGAGCCTTGGTACAGGTGAGCCATCAGCCCGGGACCGGCCCAGAACAAGGCCAAGGAGAGGGCAGGTGTGGAAGGCAGCTGCTGGGTGGAGAGGCCACATTCGTGTGTTCGGACTTCTTTCCCCTTCTCTGTTTCAGAGCTGGTGTCACAGAAGGGTTAGGAGAGTGGAGTTAGGGTTCCAAACTCAGTTCTGCCACATCCTAGATGCAGAGTCCTTAGGCAAGTTACTTAAGCTCTCTGTGCGTCAGTTTCTTCCTCTATAAAATGGACAATAATAACATCCACCTCACAGAATTGTGGTGAGGATTAAAGAGATTAATTCACATAAAGAGCTTAGAACAGCAGCTGGCCCTCAGTCAGTATTAACCGTTATACTTTGGGAACAAAAATCGACGTCCTAGAAGGTGGCCGGAATAGGGCAGGGGAAGCATTTTAATCTCCTGAAACTCAAAAGACAAACTTCATCCAGAGGTTTTCCTACACTGGCAAAGAGGAGGACCAGCACATACGTCACTTCTGTTGTCAGGGATACGTTTTCAGGATTATATTGTAACATAGTAGCAAAGCCCTAACTGCTTTAGGAGAAAACCTTACCTTAGGGGACCCAGGGCTGGTTCTCAAGCCACTTCCATTTTGGGAATTAACTTCATGGTCTACTAAAATTAGAAGAATATCAATGTTCTGAATCTATACCTGAGATTTTTTGATTGGTATTTCTGTGTAAAATGTATGGTTTTATGGAGGAAAGTTCTCTAAACCAAGCATATTTCTATTTCTGCCTCTTTTTACAGTACTTATAATAAATCAATCGCCACTTCACTATTTTTGGAGCCTGCCTTGAATCTACTGAAAATCTATGTAATTGGAAAATGCTACACTATATTAATCTTTGTGATCTATTCATTCATCTATTCAATAGGCATTTATTAAGCATCTACTACATCCCAAGTTAGACGCTATTAAGGCTGGAAGGATGTAAGTGATCTAGGGCCCTACCTTGGGGGAGACTATAGTCAGTACAAAACACATACGCTAAATTAGGATAGAATCAATAAAAGAAGAAGGACTATAGAAGAGACCATAAAGTGCTCACATCAGGATTCGCTAACTAGTTTAAAATTATCAAATCAAATTTAATAACACTTCCAAATGCTGACATGTGCTCTGTTGAGGAGCTCAGAGGCATAATTGACTACTTGACCTGGAGAGTTTAGAGGCTTAGAGACACTCACAGTCACACGAACCACAGACAGACAAGCCAAACAATGGTCATCAGATAAGAAAAGGAAAGAAACACATCTCTTTAAGCAAAAGATTTCTCAGGTGGCAATGGAAAGCAAGCAAAGGAATTAAGATAGAATAGCATTCCCTTTCATAAACCCTGTTTACTATAATCTTACGAATTAATGTAAACTCCATGTGTACTTCTTGTACTAGGAAAATGCACTGCCTTCATGAAACAAAAGAGCACTCAGTTCTTCAGAGGAAGGGAATAGTTGTCACATAAAACCTATTGCCTAGCAACAAAACAGCAACTCATCACACCTGTCTCCCAGCCATAGACACACATAGCCTCACCCTCACGCCTGCTCATTCCTCCTGACGTACAAACACAGGATTCTTTTAATAGGATCTGTAGTTATGATAACTGGGTTTTTAAGGCTGTAGTTAAAAACACCAATCAATAGGAAGTCCTGCCGGTTGCTAAGAATTTAATCATATAGTCAGAGCCTTTGAAAGAACCATGACATAATAAAACAAGAGGGCCATTGAACTCGGTTCCTAGTCTTTTCTTTCTTTTCTTTCTTTCCTTCTTTCTTTCTTTCCTTCCTTCTTTCTTTCCTTCCTTCTTTCTTTCCTTCCTTCCTTCTTCTCTTCCTTCCTTCCTTCCTTCTTTCCTTCCTTCTTTTTCCTACACTGAAAGTTTCTCAGAAGCATCTCTCCTTTGCCCCTCAGCTAGGGGTACCAGGTGGTCCTTCCCCTCTGGCTCTCATGCTCAGTGTGAAAATAGAATCATGCAATGGAGCACTTCTTTTCAGAGTCTAAATCTATGGGTGAAAACCCAAATCCATTTCAATGCCGGATTTGTTTCATTGCCTGATGCTAAGTCAAAATCAGCAGCTCATCTTACCTTCAAACATTGGGTATCACAGAGCCGGTGGACATGATGTTTGGAAGTGAGTTGCTAACCAACATTCTGTGGAATAGAATGTATTCAGTGATGTGACTCACAGATTAATTACTTCACCCTCATGGACCTCAAACTGGGTGTGCCATTTGCTATAGATTGACTCAGAGCTTAACCCTTCCAGGTACGGGGAAATTTCACTTGCCTTCCTCCTTCTCGAAGTCTCATTTCTGAATGGTAGCAGAAGTGTCTGTGGGAGAAACTGCTG